CCCTTTCCCGGACAGGCTCCTCCTTGAGAAGTTGAAACAACAACCATGGCTCCTCCTCCTTTCTCCCCTTATTTTCCTTTCCTTTCTTTGACCCGCCTTCCTTCCCCCCCTAGCAACAGGCGGACCCGGTTTCTATTGGCTGCCCATTCGTGGGCCCCACCCTTTCATTGGCTACCCTGGCAAGGAAGGCGGGGCGGTATTGTACGTGTCTCCCCCTCCCTTTCTCTTCGGCCTCAAAGTCGGGAATTGTCGGCCATTTTGTGCGAGAGAGTTTTGGGCTTGTGGAAACCGAGCGCAGCAGGAGCCGGAGGAGCGGAGCGGGTTCGGCTGCAGCTGAAGGTGGGGTTGAACAAGAGCCTGAGCTGTTTTTTAGTAGCGCGGAAGGGGGACGAGAGAAGGGGCAGTGGGGGGTGGGGAGAAGAAGACCAGCCAGATTGTGGGGGGAGGGGGGAAGGGGTGTGCCGCCATGTTGTGGTGCCCCATTGAAAAGCCCAAGATGGGTCCCTCCCCCCCCACAAGTATTTCAATGGGGGAAGATAAGAAAAGTGCTTCCCGCTGGCAGAGGTCGGCCCTGCCTATTATTTGTGGAGATAAACTCCCCTTCATAATACAGTGTGTGTAGGGGGGGGGCGGGGAGGGTTAAGGCTCCCTTTCCCCAACTTGGCGCCCCTCAGAAGTTTCGACCCGGCCTTTATAGGGGTGTGTGGGATGTGGAAAGAGGCTGGATTGTGTCCGGTGTGGGGGGGGACTAAATGGGAAGCGGGGGCCGAACTTGGCGATGACTTTGCTGAATTTGGACATTTGGAGCGTGGGAGCGGGTGAGGGTGTCGGTAAGCCTTCCAGGGCAGCCTTTAAAAAAACAAACTCTGAAAAATACTTCAAACTCTGAAAAATACTCGTGTGGTCTGTGGGCGCTTTGTGCTTAACTTTTTTTTTGTATCCCTCTCTTTCCATGGAAGGCTTTTCTTGTGACTTCGACTGTCCTCTCCCTAGTTTAATAGACGCCTCTGCGGCCCCCCCCCCCATATTTGGGGATTTTAAAAAAATAATCCCGTCTCTTGAATAGCTTGGCAAAGTTGCTTCTTTGGGCGAGTGAAATTCACTTTTGGGGGAACTGCGGGGTGTGTGTGTGTAAGGAGGCTGGTAAAGGAGGCTTTGTTTGGTTTCCTTTTCGGGAGGATGTGGTTTTGGAAATTCCCCTTGCTGCCCCCCCCCCCAGTTGTGCGGTGCTTGGAAATCCCCCACCCCCGCCGTTGTAGGTTGTGTTGTGTGGACGTGTCAGGATGAGAAAATGGGATCTGAGGAAAGGAATCCTTGATGGCAAACTCCTTCCTTGTTTGGGAATGAATGGATTTTTTTTTTTTTTTACTAGTTGGGGATAGATAAAGAGGGTTAACAATGGGCCAAAGCTGGCCGGGGTCTGATAAAACGGGTGTGCAATATTTACATTGGGTTGTTTGCAGTGCAGAGTTGTGCAGGATCAGTTCAAGGGAGTGGGGGTTTCTGTGTGCTTTCTTACAATGGTTTCTTTCTTGGCTGCTGAGAAGACTTTCTTTTTTTTTTTTTGGAGTATGGCCAGAGTGATAATCAACCAGTATAAACTGCCCTCTCCCAGCCTATGCCCTCCAGATGTCTTGTAGAACAATAGACTTCGTTTTGGCTAGTATGGGCTAATGGCAGTTGTGGACTAGTTTATCTGAGTACTGGCCTGAAGAAAGCAGGAAGGGCCTTACAATTTAAATACCTAAAATACTTCCTAAGAACTTAACTTGGTTGTAAGGGTGCCCTTCAGGAATGATTTTTTGGGTTAGCTGTCGATGTCCTTGCACAGGAATTAATTTTAACATTGGCTCCTCTTGATATAGCTGGGCAAAAATGCTTCTGGATTGTGCTATACAAAACTTGCCGTTCAGGTAGAAACTTGTATAGGCAATGGAACACTTTTCCGTGGTTGTGAAAAGATTGCTCTTTGGGGGTTTTAATAGAGATGAATTGGCTAACAGAGAACAGAAACAATGCATTGGGCTTTTGCTGGCTCCATTCCTCCTTCCACTGTTGCTGCTGATGGAAGACTGCAATTCTGTACATACTTTGGCTTAGTTAGTGGCAAGACTCCAGATGAATGCAGTAAGTTTGTTTAAATATAAGGAAACATTTTCTGATGATAAGATCTGGAAACAGTGGAAAAGCTTACTCATGGAGGTTATGAGTTTTCTCATCTTTGAAAATTTTAAGAGTCTGGACAGTCGCCTCTCTTTCATTTAATTGATTGCTTATATATTGTAAAGGATTGGATTAGATGGATTTTGTGGTCTTCTCTGTCATGGTTCTGATTCTGGGAGTAGGCCTGTGCAGAATTGGGCTTCTTGTACTTGTATGATATTTTTGATATACGTTGGGGTTTGGGAGCCAAGTGTTTCCGGAGTAATTGCGTCTCTCTTTCTGAATGGAGTTGCATTCCTTTGTTTGAGAGATGGTTCATGCTCCTGCTTGAGCAACAAGTGGCAGCTCTGACTAGGAGCGGTTTTGTGCAATAACATTTTGTAGACTAGGTCTGGCCACTCCTGAATCAGGAGACTCTGCTTACAGACATTCAGGGCTAAATCACCTCCCATTTGGATTATTATAATGAAGTCTGCACAGTCCTGCCCTTGGAAAGCACCTTGCCCATACTCCAACAACCTAGGTAGTGATGAGTATATCTCGATATTCTTGGATGACCTCATTATGTGAGGAGCTGCACTGATTGCTGATTGGCTTTTGGATATAATTCATGATACTAATTGTCATCGGCAGGATTCTGGACTCTGGATTCTGGATCAGTCATTTCCTTGTCTGATCAGGTTAAATAGAGTAAACTTTCTTCAGGCTCCATCTCAGACAGGGCCTTGGCATTTTCGATCACTGCTCCCATACTCTGGAATTCTGCTCCTTCTTTCTGGGTTTTAGATGGTGGTTACAACTGGTTATTATTCTATCAATTATATGCGGTTATTGATGATGTGAATTTGATGGGCATGTTTTGGACATTGTCTATTCAGTACTGTATGTATTTGTAGGTTTAATTTTAATATTTTATATATTTGTAGGTTTATTATTTTCAGGGTTTTTTCCTTGATTTAGTTATCTTTCAGTTTGCTGTTCAAAACAGACCTTAAAATAAAAATAAAACTCAATATTTGATACAGGTAATAACAGTGAATTTGTATTTGACATACTTTGTTTAATTTCTAGATACATATTAAGCTTATGAAGCCCTGTTGGTTTGGTACTCTGCTTTTAGAAATATTCTTGGTGCCATTTCCCCCAGACTTATAAATATGTTGTACTTATACCATTTTCACAAATTTATTTTAGTGATTTATCAATTTAATAATCTGCACCAATTTAGTCTATAAAAATAAACCACTTTTGATATCTTTTAAAATAGGGAGTGGTGCAGTATTATAACAAAAAGCACAGCTCTGTAAACAAGCAAAATAAAAGTAACATTTTTAAAAAAAAATAAAGCACCATTTAGAATTGGGAACTTTCTTTGATTTTCTACTTCAAATTTCATTTTAGAACTGGGACTTCTACCCTTGAAGCCCACGTGCTGAGAATCTGATGTTGGGCTCGGCTTCGTGGCTGAAAACGGCAAACCAGCCCATGAGAACTACCATTCCTAGCCAAAAGAGATCCAATAAAAGTCAGCATCTTTTCTTTCAAGTCTGGCAGCAAGAAAGAGGACAGGAGGTGGACATTGTGGAATCTGAAAACAGAACTGAAAGGTAAAATGAGAACTACATAAATTGTGTCTCTGGGAAAGACCGGTTCCTTTATATACTGTTGTTTCTTTGGAAGACTTTTTCTTTGTGTAGGAAGTCATGAAGTTAAGGAATCTGCCTTTTCCCTGGCAGCCCTTGCCCTATGGAACACCCATCCCCTTTCAAGTTTGGCTGGCCTCTACTTTCCTAACCTTTCAAAAAGCACTTAAGACCTGGTTTTCCCCTAAGAGCTGAGATAGGGTGAGATGGATAAGAGGATTTATTGAGTATATTGGAAACTTAACTTTGGTACCAGGTTTTTAATGTCTGTGGTTTTAATAGATATATGTATTATATCCTTTATTGAGGGGATTTTGTTGAGTGGGAGCTACCCAGAGTTGAATAGATGGGTGGATATTAAATAAATAAACTGGTCCAAAAGTTATGGTTTATTTTGTACCTTAAAATTCAGTAAGTAGTTAAATACTAACATCTTTGTCTTTTATCAGCCTATTAAAATATCTGATTGCCTGTTTCATTTGGTTTTATTCTGCATGGAAAATTGCAATATAAATTTGAGAAGACTGAGTTCTAATGTTCTCTTCTAATGTTAGGCACAAAAGCCAGCCAGGTTACCTAACAAATATTTAAAACAGCTCGTTTATTATACAGCGAAGGTGCACCTTTACTGAAATGGGAAGAGATTGGTGGTGTTAAAAAAAATCAAACCTGATGGAATGTTTCAAAGATCGTTTTTTCAGAAAAGCTCTCTTAAGTGGCTTATTATGCTATGTTTTCTAATCTGTTATACTTTATTTAATAAACCATGGCTGGGAAAGAAAAAAATCACAATTTACTGTGGTATGTGATACAAGCCAGTGTACTATGGAATTCAATTTCATAGCAATCCTAAACCTCCAGAGGTATTTATGTTGAAAAAATGTGCTATTATCCAAAATATTGTTGAAACCATTTTTAAGCAAAATTTTGCTTATACTTAATCAATATGGTAGCTCAAAACCCAGCCTACATGCCAAATTTTGGAACCAGGATAATTTGAAGACTTAATAAAGCTATTTGATTCTTGCCTTTGCAATCTGAATATACTCTGGCATTGCCATTGAAGGGTTTTTTTTTTTTTACAAAAGAATATTATGATTACATCACATGCCATATTTTCTTAGGTTTTCCCTGACATGTTTTGTCTTTTCTTGACTCTTCCCAATCCCTGGATAGGTGACATTTAACTTGAAGATGGGAGGTGGAGAAAGATTCAGTGTTCCATCTGTCCAGTCCAGAAATGCTACCAAGAGCCATCAACAACTGAATAATAGAAAAAAGAGTAAAGATCAGAATTCCCATATGAAGAAAATTCACAAGAAAGAGAGAGGACATGGCTGCAACCCATCATCTGTAGCATGGCAGGCCATGCACAATGAAGGAAAAACCACAGTGCATTTCCAAACCAACCAGACTTGGAATCCAGCTTTATCCCACTCACTTTTCATGCCTCAAACCAACCAAAACTATGCTGGAGCAAAATTCAGTGAGCCACCATCCCCAAGTGTTCTTCCTAAACCACCAAGCCACTGGGTAACTGTTTCATTTAACCCTGCTGATAAAGAAATCATGACTTTTCAACTTAAGACCTTACTGAAAGTACAGGCTTAAGTTCCATAGCAAAGGACACTTCAGTTTCAATTTTCAGTATGAATCCATTTTGGAGTCCAGAATTCAAACAAAAGCACAACATGCAGAACTAAGTCACCATGTTGGAAAGTAGTTGAATCGTGTATGATGGTGAAAGGTCACTCCTTGGAACTACTCTTAATTAAATAGTTCACTTTTGGGTGTTACTGTGCACTGTATCCATTTTTATGTGCTACAGATGCATTGTTAAAATAATTTGATAGCCTAGACCAAATCTCAGTCATTGTTCTCTATACAAATTGTATTGATAGTTTTCATTCTCAGAAAAGTGTGCTTGATGGTATGTCTTTTGGGATGCAGTAATATAAGCCAAACAAATTTTTAACCACAATAGCAATGTAATTGCAAAATATGATTATTCCCTATACTGTGAAATTCTGTAAGTATTCAAAATCAGATGTTTTTGAGCTCTTACCCAAAATTGTTGTAAAAAGCAACTTAATTTCAAGTAACTAATTTTTCTATCACTGAACTGATAGGTTGGGCAAGCAAATATTCATTCAAAGGCTTGGAACTTGAAATCCAAAATTTGGATTTGAAATGCCAATCTATATAAACCCTTGTTTAATTGCATGCCAATTATTTTCATTATTAATCTATAATTCTTATACAATCCTTACAATGCATTGAAAATTGATACCCCAAAATGTGCCAACTTGAATGTTTGTAATGACTGGTACTGCCAAAAGCTTCTAGTACCTTTTTTTCTTCAGTGAATTTCACTAATCTGTTTTTGGTATGCATTCTGTATGTTTTGCATCATTTCTTGAAACTAAACTGCTAAGGCCAGTGTATAATAGGGTAATCTATTATGTGAACTTGTTTAAAGAATTTGAGAATTGTAAAAACATCTTTTATGGAGGAAGGAAGAGCCATGTAAATAAATGTAAAACTTGTAGCATATGTAAATTTATTGTGGGCTTTCCTGCCAAAAAAAGAACTATTTTAGTACAAAACTGCTGAATGTAAACAAGTCCATGTTAAATACATGGCATGATTTTTATAAAAAAAATGCTAAAAAAAACCTTTAAAAGCACATATCTATGCCATTGCACTTGAGTATCAGTGAAAGAATGTGCTCAGCCTGCGTCTGCTTAGATAAGAATTTGGATTTAACTTGGTAGAAAGTACCATTTTTAAAGTTAAAAATGTCTTTTTGAAGTTAAGGGCGCAGTTGTTTAATGAAGAGAAAAAAATCTTGATAATTCAGTAAATGTTTATGCACTCTTTAGATTTCAGTCCTGATATACTTTATTGAAAACTGCTTCATCCAAGTGTGTTTGGGACTGGGCTTTTAAGGTTGCATTTCAGTGAAACCTCAATTCCTGCATAATATTAGAACTATTGCGGACAGTTTTAATATACCCTCTGATGGTTGCTTTCATTTTGGATGTATAAAGTACTTTTAGCAAAGAAACAAAGTATTAGAAGTTCCAGTGTCCAAAATGCCAGAACCCCATCTTGTATTTATCAAGATATATAATAAAGTGTTTTTACAAGTGTTTGTTTTTAAACTATGTATTATATTGTAGCACTTTTCTTGGCTGTTTTATATGCTGTCATTTGTTAGAAAGTATTTCATTATATACCATTATAATTATTATTTTTTGACTTGTGTCTGAACTCTTCTTAGAAGCAGCAACTTTAGAATTTGGTAGAATTTCAGATGTGTTAGGCACTATGTATCTTGGTGAAAATAGATTATGTAAATAGATTATGTAAACTAAAACATTATACATAATGAAATGTGTAATGTTGCTAAGTTTCCAACAATGGTAATGAAACATTTAGTTGCCATGAAAGATGTTTTTTAAAAAAATTGTGAGGGATATTTGGCTGTACATTGTTGCACATTTTAGCTACATATATATTCAAAATGTTTTAGCAACCATCAGAACATTTAAAATATTTCCAAATAAAAGAGATTGGACAATTTTCTCAAAATATTACCTTATGTCCCACATGTATCCCAGACATTTGAAAATCTTTGTATCCCAGATGTAATTTTGATACTAAATTCTATGCTTGATATACTTGGATATGAATTTGAAACAAATTTTAAATAAAAATCCTTAACCTTTTCTCCCCAACAGTGTGTTGACTTGCTACTTTATTTATAGCATTATTCTTTTAAAACTAAAAAAGCATATATAGTAAGCATTAAGGGGCATCTTGCCCATAGATCTAAAAGACATGAGAGGAGGTTGAAGAGAAAAAAGCAAGATAGTGCATGAATTCCATTTTAATATAAACAGTTGCAGATAGTTTGGCAAGTAACCAAATGATTAGTTTCTTTCAATACGAACCTTTAGAGGGAAGAATTATATGAAAAGCAGAGGCTTTAACATTGAGCTAAAATATTTGAGGTTGGGTGTAAGGTGGTTATGATTAGCCCTATCTAATGGTTATGGGAGCAAATTCAATTTGTTCTTCGTATATTACTGGATTACAGTACATTGGATATATTGAACCAAATAAGCACTGTGCTGTTTAAAGGTATCTATTTTAATTTGATTGGATGTATGAATTTTAATTTTGCTTTAAACTGATTGTAGTATGAAATATATCTGCTGCATAAGAATAACTCATACCAAAAAAAAAAAAAAAGTGAGCTACCAAGCTTTCTTTTAAGTTAGGAAAATAGGCATTAGTTGGATATATTGTCCTACCTAAATTGAATGAGATGATTTAAAATTTTTAAAAATACTCATAAACAATTTTAGTTGTTTTGCAGCCCAGGTATCTTGTATAAGCACCAGCAATAGTTCAACGTTCAAAGCCGTATGGACTTGTTCTGGATTTCAAAAATTTGACATAGTTATTAAGAGTATGGTATATTTTCAACATCTTCCTGATTGAGGGAAAGTTCCATTGGTCTATTATTTCATTTCACTTATGGATGAAATTTAATCTTTTTGTGAAAAAGCCAAATTTAGTAAAAAATAGTGCACAATAAATTAGTACAATTCTCATCTTTTTATTACTGTATTATTCTGGGATTCCGAGGTTTTGTTTAAGTTCACCACTTAGAATCACAACTGGCAAGATGAGTTACACAAGCCAATAAAATATTTATATAGCTGCTTCAGGACTCAATCTCTGAGGCAGAATTTGTTCTGGCATAACAAAATATTTTAGACTTGTCTTTCTCAGTGGCTAATGAAGCTCTGAAATAATTATTGCTCCTGCATTGAATAAGCAGCATTGGTGTTCTCCTTTAAGTATGAACATATCCATCCTCAAACAATATTAGTTAAAACTACAGTAGATAATTTCTTCGTTTCTGCTTCCTTTTTTTTTATTAGTTTGAATGCTAGATTTACAGCAAGCAAAATATAAACGGGTCCTCCTAATCAAAACAGTGATGTCTTAAAGAAGTACCTGGTATTTTTTATAAAAGATAAAATAAAGATAAAAATATCTTTTTTGGAAGCCTCTATAAGAAAGAAAATATAAAGTTTATTTCCACTTCCACAAGTGACCAGAGCTGCACAGTAACACAATTTTACACTTTGTTTTAAACTACATTAGGAAGAACTCTTTAAAAAAGCAATAAATGATTGCATAGCAGGACATTAACTTTTAGTAATAAACAAAAATTAGGCTATCAAATATACAAAGATTCTAGAATCACCCCTTCAGCTTATTAAACAGTCAGTATTTTAAAAGACATCTTTACTCCTGAGCAGTTTACTGTATATGAATAGCTAGAACTTAAATCTGAAACTAGCTCTCTACAGAAACAAGGGTTCCATTGATATTAACTTTTCCTGCTAAACAGAAGTAGAGGGCCTTTAAAGTTTGATGCTGACTTTCTTCCAACAGAAAAGCTATATTCTTAATACAATATTATGGTCTTCCAGAGACTACTTTCGAGATTATACCATGGCAACTTTCCGTAGTCTAAATATTACCAAAAGCAAAAACAACATATATTGAATAATCTTCCTGATCTGAAGAGAAAGTTAGATTGATGTATAAACTCAAAACTGCCACTTCTATTTAGAAATACTAACGAAACCCTGGGGCACTAAATAGGTAAGCCAACTACTTATAAAAACTTTCATGTTGAGGTTTAGTTTATGCATTGTGCAATCTGAATGTTTATTTTAATTTAATACAGCAAAAAGCCTTATGGAATTTGCTCACTAAACCTCAAAGCCCGCCACATTGCATACAAATTGTTACCTAACAATTTAACTGAGTATTTTATTTTTGGAGGTTAACGCATTAGGAAAAAGCACCTGGATCTTGACAAATCCACAGTAGATCATTGTGAGTAATTTCTGCTTTTTATAATTTATTCTCAAGACCATCGCTTCAGAAGTTATCGGTATTTCAATGTCTTTCAGATGCCCAAGGAACCAACCATTTTGGCACAAGTGTCCACGACAAGCAAGCCTTTACAACCCTTTTTGAGTCTTGACATTTTTTAGCTCAGTCACTACAGCAAAACTGCTCAATCTGCTGGCTATACAGCAGAAATTAAGCAATAGTGTAAACCGTGATGATCAAGATACCAGTGATATTTGAAGCATAAGACCATACCTTTTTTTTTTTTTTTACAAAAATATACATAGAAACACAAGAATCTTAGTAGCTGCCCAAGACATTTAACAAAGTGGACTCTATTGTGTAAGATTATCTGTATTGTATTTTTAATAGTAATAATTGCCTGCTCCAGGGATAACTAACAAAATTATTTTAAAGCAATGTTGCAACATCATAACTCAATTGTTATTCTAGATGATACATGCCTAAAAACAAAGTACACTGTTCAGTGGCCACTGGACTTGGGACTAGCCCATGATCTGGATCTGGATTTTGATCTAGATCTAGACTGCGATCTTGACTGAGATTTGGATCTAGCTGATTCATTTTTCCTTGATTCTTTTTCATATCTTGAGCTGGACTTATAATGTGCCTTAGAATCCATTTTAGAGTTGTCTCTAGATTTAGTACGAGATGTAGACCTAGACCGTGATTTAGCCTTCATTTCTTTTTTGGCTGGTGACTTAGATCGTGATCTTGAATTGGACTTTGACCTTGAAAAAGATGTGTTACGGTGTCTGAACCTATCAGAAAGAGGAAGATAATACATTTGAATATGGTCAAGCTCATTAGGTGTTGTATTATCTCACATTAAAATGGCTTATTGTTGCAGGCACAGGCTTTTCTGATTTTGAATGTGTTATATAAAAGAATGTTTACCTATCATTATCTGAACGACTTCTGCTACGGCGATGTCTTCCAGCAGGTCTACTGCTAAAAAGGTACATGAGAAAAAGTAAACAGTGGCATATACCTTTAGAATTACTCACACCCCCAACTAAAGATTCTTCAGTTGCAATATTTCTTTTTTCTTCAAGGATGCACTATTTCTCATAGTTCATGCAAGGTATAACACTTCCATGCATGTTACTGCTAAGGTGACTTGGAATCTAGGTGTCAGACAGTCAATGGGTTTCCTCTTCATTACAGGTCAGCATAGGTCAAGGTAGTACAACACTTACTTTCTAGGACTATAAGATCTGCGATAGTTGTAATCAAAAGAACGGCTTCTTGACCGCCTTTCATAACTGCGACTTCTTGAACGCCGATATCTGTCATAATCATCATAACGAGATGAGCTGTACACATTTCTTCCTTCCTTAGCTTTCATTTGGTTTGGTGCTGTAGGGAAAAAATAATTTTTTTAATTAAACGTTAATATTTAATGCAACTTCATTTATTTGACTTCTATAAAGGCTGGATACTGAAAGTCCAACTAGGATCAGCTTTGAACATATTTACCGTTTACCCCAAAATAAGACATCCCAATAATAAGCCCAATTGGGCTTTTGAGTGCATGGCAATAAGGCCAAGCACTTATTTCAGGGTTCAAAAAAATATAAGACAGGGTCTTATTTTCGGAGAAACACAGTAAGTGGTATGCTCTCTCCATTTCTTCTCAATTCAAGAAATGCAGCTTTTAACAGAAAAATCAACTGAGAGCTTGAATTATTTATACTAGCCCCTTTTCTTATTGATTTGTAAGATAACTTGTGTTTAATGTTTTAAGCTTAGTATTTATTAGATCCCAGTAACTGCACAGAGGGCAGAAGCGCTCATCTGTAACTTATTTTGTTCTTCTGTAAGCTCTATAAAAACGTTATTTATTCTCTTTGCATTTATCTCCCTTTTCATCTTTGTCACAACGTATTTTCAAATGTCTTCTCTTGTATCGATATTGCTTTTCTCTCCCAATAAACCCTCACAACCTACTTTCGGTGTTCCATTATTTATTGCTTTACTTTTGTATTGTTTTACATTTTTTTCTTAAAACTTTAGCTTTGCATTCCCCTAAAACCATTCTGAGTCAGATCAAGTATGGATAGTCCTCGTTTAATGCCGTTTAGTGGTTACACAAAGTTACGACGACCCTGAAAAAGTAACTTTACAACCATTCCTCACACTTATAAATGTTGCAACATCCCCAGTCACATGATAGCTTAACAATCCATGGAGATTTGCTTAGTGATTGCAGAGAAAGTAAGGCTGTAAGCCCACTGCGGTTACACAGTATCTTGCTTAATGTGCATATTGCTTAGCAAGTTGCCAGCCCCAATTATGGCAATTAAATGAAGACTACCTGTATTTTAGTAATTAATATTTCGTTTCTTCAATGGCCAGGTGTCTACAAAACATCTGCAACAGGTCATATTAACTTACAACATACATTTAGAGGAATAGTATGTATGAAATTTCTTGCAAGCAACAAGTGCTGAGTTTTAACTATGAATTTCTCAAATCTTCTTATATAGGTGATCAAACTAATGACCATGATAGATTTGTTTTGTAAATTCTTAGTTATGTGAATTACAATTCAACTGTGCTGGATGAATCTGAATTTCAGATTGAGAATCTGTTCTGAAATTATTATCAATGTATTCTGTTCCTTGTGCAAACCTTTTCTGGGGCCTTCTTTCTTCCTTGGATGAACTTTTTAACAATCATTATTAGATATTTTTAACTGCAGCAGCTTTGTAACCTGGTACTGATCAGACAGGTGAAAAATTGGGAACGAAACACCTAAATGTGAAAGTTACATTGGTGGGGAAGAATGTTTCATTTTGTTGAAAAGTAATTGTCAATTGAAAGCAGACCAAATTCCTACCTACCTACCTACAGTTGCAAGAAAAAGTATGTGAACCCCTTGGGATTATGTGGAGTTTTGCATGAATTGGTCATAAAATGTGCTCTGAACTTCATCTAAGTCACAACAATAGAAAAACAGTCTGCTTAAAATAATACTACACAAACATTAGATGTTGCCATGGTTTAATTGAACATAACATGTAAACATTCACAGTGCAGGGAGGAAAAAACCTTTGGACTTAATAACTGGTTGACCCCCCTTTGGCAGCAATAACCTCAACCAAACGTTTCCTGTAGTTGCAGATCAGACCTGCACAACGATCTGGAGTAATTTTGGACCATTCCTCTTGACAAAACTGTTTCAGTGTAGCAATATTCTTGGGATGTCTGGTGTGAATCGCTCTCTTAAGGTCATGCCACAGCATTTCAATCGGGTTGAGATCAGGACTCTGACTGGGCCACTCCAGAAGGCGTATTCTGTGCTGTTGAAGCCATTTTTTTGTTGAATTACTTGTATGCTTTGGGTCATTGTCCTGTTGCATCACCCATCCTCTGCCGAGCTTCAGTTGGCGGACAGATGGTCGTACGTTTTCCTGCAAAATGTCTTGATAAACTCTGGAATTCATTTTCCCATCAATGACAACAATCTGTCCAGGCCCTGAGGCAGCAAAGCAGCCTCAACCATGATGTTCCCTCCGCCATGTTTTACAGTGGGGATGAGGTTTTGATGTTTGTGTGCTGTGCTTTTTTTTCTCCACACATAGTGTTGTGTGTTCTTCCCAAACAAATCAATTTTGGTTTCATCTGTCCACAGTATATTTTGCCAGTAGTGCTGTGGAACATCCAGGTGCTCTTTTGCAAACTTCAAACGTGCTGCAATATTTTTTTTGGACAGCAATGGCTTCCTCCGTGGTGTCCTCCCATGTACTCCATTCTTGTTTAATGTTTTCCTTATTGTAGATGTGTCAACAAAAATGTTAGCATTGCCAGAGATTTCTGTAGGTCTTTAGCTGACACTCTAGGATTCTTCTTTACCTCATGAAGCATTCTGTGCTGTGCTCTTGCAGTCATTTTTACAGGATGACCACGCCTAGGGAGAGTAGCAACAGTGCTAAACTTTCTCCATTTGTAGACAGTCTGTTTTACCGTGGACACATGAACATCAAGACTTTTGGAGATACTTTTGTAACCCTTTCCAACTTCATGCAAGTCAACAATTCTTGATCGTAGGTCTTCTGAGGCATGGTTCACATCAGACAGTGCTTCTTGAAACCAGTAAACCCAAAACAGGTGTGTGTTTTTAAAGGGCAGGACAGCTGTCAGCAACACATCCAATATCATCACACTGATTGGAGTCAAGGTTGGCTCACTCCTGGCTCCAATTATCTCTTGGAGAAGTCATTAGGCTAGGGGCTCACATACTTTTTCCTCCCTGCACTGTGAATGTTTACATTTATGTTCAATTAAACCATGGCAACATCTAATGTTTGTGTAGTATTATTTTAAGCAGACTGTGTTTTTCTATTGTTGTGACTTAGATGAAGTTCAGAGCACATTTTATGACCAATTCATGCAAAACTCCACGTAATCCCAAGGGATTCACATACTTTTTCTTGCAACTGTATCTATCATTTTTCTCTCCTTCCCTCCCTCTACTAATTGCTACTACTTTCTACTATGAAGGTTTTTATGACTTCCTAGTCTAGCCAAAACCCTGGTGTTTCCTTTTGGTCTCCAGTACAAGTAATAATCAAATTAGACATTGTTTTACTTTTTCGGAGACTAGCGAAGGTTGATGCTGCCACTATAACCTGTATTCTGGATTCAGACAGCTAGTGATCAAAAAGATATTAAGTGGGGCAATCTTTTGTACATAAAAGCTTCATATTTCAAATCAACTTCCATGGTAGTTGAGTGACTTATGTCTACATTTAGACTAAATGGATATAAAAAGACTAATAATGTCCAGGGGAAGGACAATTTTTCTACTCTTATTGAGTCGTATCTATATTTAACTGGTAGGTTTTACATGATTTTTTTCATATTGATTTGGAAAAGTCCATGTAGCGTAGCTGACTGCTCATAAGCATTCCCATCAATTATTTGTGCCCATCTGATCCCTCATTTTTAATATATATTCTTGTAAAATTTGCAGATATCAAACATTCTAATCAGAATATGCGCTATAATTTTTACCAGATCATTTAACATTAAATAGCAAATATGACATTTCAATAATTTGTAGAGGAAAAATACGTTTATTGGGTATTGTAGCTATGACAGAATAATTCATACAGGTCTATGTGTTATGTTTCAGTATTAATTTTCTGACAAACTTTACTTAAATATAAATGCAGTACATACTTTTCCGATCTCCTTGAGCAAACTGGATTTCTATTTGGCGGCCACAAATCCATTTCCGGTCCAAATTATGAAGGGCATCTTCAGCATCCCGGACATCTTCAAATGTGCTAGATGTTAAGGTACTTGGGAATTTTAAGTATTTGCAACTATATAAGTAGTACATTATTGTTTTCCCATAATGCCATTACAGCCTTTCAACTAACTTGTCCTCATTTTTTGTATGTTCTATAGTAGAACAAATATTAGCTGATATCAGTAATGTCAATTTGCATTTGCCTCAAATTTTTAATTTAAAAAAAAATGGATTCTTAATGCCATGTTTCATCTACCAATGTTTAAAAAATATCTCACCCTTAAGTATTTTTCTTAGAGAGCTTTAATACAATAACAGTGTAGCATTTTCCAGATGAAGCTAATACAGGCAATCCCAGGGTTAAGCACCTGTTCTATTTCCTAAATGTCTTTAACCCAAAATTGTTTTCAGGTTGGAACAGGCTAACCTGTGCTTCTGCCTATTAGGGGTGAACATCAAGAACAACAAAGTTGCTTACAAAGGTTTTTTTTTTTTTTTGGTAAAGTTTAAAATTATGACTTCAAAATTGAGTTATGGTGAAGACAGATTTCCAGCAAGGAGAACCCAAGTCAAGGAGAATCCTCTGGAATTCATTCTCTCACTGTCTTGAAGGCAAAGTGATCCAACTCAAAATGGCAGGCAGTGTTCTCCTTCTACTAAAATTGCACAATGCTTTCAAGAACTGATAAAAAAAAGGAATATAATGTATTAAAAATACACATACTACTTTGTAATGTTCATGAAATCTTTTTGTAGCTTCAGCAGTTTGTCAGCTCAAAGGAGAACACTGTCTGCCATTTGAATGAGATCACATTGCCAGTCAACCATCTGCCATTTTAAATACTGTAATAAGCGATTTTGTAACATGTCTGCCATTTTGTAAGAGTTAGTCCTGTTCCTCTCTAGAGGTTGTTTTTAAGTTGGATGTTCTTAGCCCAGAGACTGCTTGTATTAATGATTTTCATTTTTAATAATTCATTTAATAAGATAGATCATTGCAAAATTATATACAATTTTATGACAAAGACATATGCTGGAAAATTAAGTTTGTTACATATTGCAAGCCTCTAAGTAAGCTCAATTGTCCCTATGTGTCAAATTACAAATATACTATGCAGCAAATGTTACCTTATTACAGATATCTTCATCTCAAATCAGTAATGTTTAGTTGAAATTGTATTTCTCAATTAAATGCAGAGACATCATGGTTATTACAGGGCCATAGCTAAACTAAATTAGAATAAAAAGTATTGGTTAACCACTTACACAACCAGCAAGAGGACAGCTCTTATTCTGTAGGATACATCAGGTAAGGCTCCTTTTATCTTGGCCACCAGTCAACTTCATCTTGACCTTTAACTCTTTAAGTGCTTGTCAGAAGGACTTGTGATGCTTGGTCAAAAGTGACAGATGGCTTTATCTTTACACTTTGAAAAACAACCTTTTCCCCCATTTGTAGATAAAGCGAAGCTTTTTCTCCCATTATGGCTTGTCCTTCTTCCAGCTTTTCTTTATATTTTCTTTTCCCAAACTTTCCCTTCTCTTCAAGCCTGATCCTTAAGAGGTCTTTGGCTTGTCTACTTGCCTTAATTCTTGAATTCTACTCTAAAAGTTCTTTCATGCTTTTTCTTTGGGGTCGCCATTACTGTACAGCTTTACACTCTGAGGCAACAACAGAGGACAGTAAATTAGGGGACAATAATCAGAGCAAGAATTTTCACCTTATTTTATACAAGTCTGTTTTTGATCAAATAAACAGTAAAATATCAGTCACATTTTGTTAAGCATTAAGAACAAATTTACTAGAAATGCCCAATATGCTGAATTGCAATGATAAACTTTGGAGGCAGCAGCAAATGCCATTTCCATACTAAAAGCACAAGTCTAAATATGAGGCCTGTGCTACAATAATGCAATATATTATTGACTATAGTTAAAGTTTTCAAAGTATGAAAATTTGTTAATGCATTAATCTTCTGAGGAACGGAACACACACAACGTATTACAAATAACACAAGAAAACAGCCTTGTCATTTAGGTTTGTTACCTCATACACAAACGTGATTTCAAACTCCAACACCACTCTCACCAATCAGTCATCTGAAGAAAGGATATTGAACATAAGCAAATCCTCTTGGACGGCGGGTGTAGAAATCTAGGGGTACATATACATCAACTATTGGACCATATCGACCAAATTCCCGACGTAAGTCTTCAGACCTGCAATGAGACTTAACGTTAATTAAGATACTTAAAGTGTATAAATACTGATCAATATAGAATGGGGGGACGGGAATGACAATCCTATTACTTTTGCTAAGTACATCCCACTTATTTGTTGCAGTGTGAACTCAGCTATAAACTTTCCCTTGCCATCTTGAAGCAAGAACCCAACTTTTAATAGAATATAATGTAGCAATACTTAACATAATATGCCATTCATGCTAAATATTATTAAGAATGTAACCTTTGGAGAAAATAAATTCAAGCTTGTAAATGGCTACCAGCCAGAGGTATATAAAAGTTCTTGCATCAGAGTAGCTGATTTCAGGTGGCTTGTGATTAAACCTAAACCTGCATGACTGGACTTCCAAACCCCAACTTACTTTGTGCATGGAACATGTATTTTTTTTTTTGCGCAAGCTCCTACAAACCATAATATTGGATGACTTCATGCACCAACTTTAATCAGAAATCTGACCATTTACTTAGATGCAAATTGATAAAAAGAACATTGGGGAGGAAAATAGATTTGCTGTAGATTTCAAGTAATTTCTGAGGTTCTTTAGTCTTAGGAAGAGGAAGGACAGAAGAATTCGGGAAAAAATATAACAATGTAAATCTCAAAAACGTAATCCAAATTTAAAGAAAAAAAAAGATTTGGAATGTGCTAAAATTGGAATTATATATCATTACCGAGGATCCATTTTAATGAAGCTAAAGGATAAGTATAAAGGAATTACTTTACTTCGAATATACTCGAATAAAGGAAGTAGTAGATACAGCAAAACATGCAGCAGTGTCTTGCAGAAAGGAAAAAAAAATCGCAAAAAATGTATATAAAAAAAGGGAAGCTGGCAGAAAGGCAGGCAAGGGGAAAGAAAAAGGGGGAGAAAATAAAATAAATACTCTTCCCCTCCCAATAATCTCTCAAACACAGATCGGTTTCATCGTTTTACTAATTGACGCGATATTCTTGATTTTACACACGGCTTTTTTTTTTAAAGTCTCTTTTGGCGCCAAAAAGAGAAGTTAGCACACAAATGAAACCGGCCCCAAGTGGCGATCTAACGGAGACTTCGAAGAGCGGGTGAGGAGGCCACAAAGGCAGGAAAACGACCAAGAAGGCCTCTCCAAGCAGGCCTGCCCGGAGTTTAGCGACCTCACCCGAAGCGCAAGGCCGGGACGCGGGAAACAGCGAGGCAACCAAGCCCCCGGTCGCGCCTCAGGCCTTCCGCGCCCTTCCTTCCCCGCCTCCTTCAACTTAACACACACACCTGGTGTCGTCGGCCACGTTTCGCACAAATAACGAGGTGTTGGGCGGCCGCAAGTAGCGAGACATGGTTGCTCCGGGGGAAGGGAAGCGGCCCGCAGGGCGAGAGACGGAGGACGAAGCCAAGAAGAGTTGAAACGGAGCCGGCGCTGAGGAGAAAGAGTCTCTCTCTCACACACACACATACACACAGAGAGAACGACTCGGGGCAACCGCCTTGTGGCGAACTCTCGCGAGAGTCGGGTCCGCGCGCGCCCGCACCAACGGCGGGCGGGATGGCGTCTCGCGCGCTCAGCCGTCGCGCGAGATGGCGAAGGCGCCTGCGCCTTTAGCAGCCCGCAACCGTTGTAAAAAGAGGCAGATCTCGCGTTATTTGCCGAGCGCGTGGGGTTGGGCGCGCCTGCGCGGTTCGATTCGGAATTGGCCTTTTTGCCGCCTTTGGTGCGGCGGGCGAAGCTGTGGTCGAATGGGACTTAGAATGACTTTATTAAACCGGTGTTGTGTGTGTCTCCAAACTTGGGAACTTCAAGACTTGTGGACTTCAACTCCCAGAATTCCCCAGCCACCTTTGCTCCTCCGCGCCAGGCTTTCTCTTCAGCGCCATGCTGGCTGGGGAATTGTGGGAGTTGAAGTCCACAAGTCTTAAAAAGTTGCCAAGTTTGGAGACCCCTGGTTTAAATGTACAATAATCGGCCTACATTATAATGAAATTTCGTTGCATACTTCTCTCAAAGGGCCACCACCTCCAATATACACTACATAAACATGACAAATAAATAATGAGTGATTCTTTTGTGGGTGGGGGGGGAATGCAGAAAGAAGAAAATAACATAGTTTAAAATTGTGTCTTTGGGGGAAGGTCTTTGGTCACTTGGCTTGTTAGGCTGTGTTTTGTAAAAAAACAAACAAAAAAAAAACGTTGCTTTTAAGAGGTGACAATGTTGCCTGGGATTTTAGGCTTCGTTATTAGCATTTTAAAAGGGGATCTTGGCACTTTTAACCTGGTAGAGAAGTATAGGTCTCCTCCTTATTGCTTTTCTACAAGCGCCTTGACGGCCCCATTCGGACCCTATCCAATGTCTTGTCCGATTCTGTTGTTGTCACCATGGGATGGGGGTTAAATTGTGGATTCTTAACTAGATTTTTAATGTTGTACATCGCCCGGAGTCACTGTGTGTGAGTTGAGCGGCTGTATAAATTTTAAAAAAATAAACATTTAATAAATAGGCAAATAAGTGGCATCTTCTTTAACCCAGTTATCAGCGAAAGGTCTAAGCCAGGGGAGTCAAACTCGATTGCATTGAGGGCCACAACAGAGTTGTGTTTGACCTCAGGGGGCCCAGGGGGCCGTGGCCAGAGTGGGTGTGGCCAGCTTGATGTCACTTGTGTTGGGAGCACCTGTGGTGGCCCGGGTGGGCCTGGGGGGATCCTCCTGCAGCCCTCTGCCAGCAAAAATGGAGTCCGGAAGGAGCTCCGTTTTCACTGGGAGAGGCACCACGGCCATTCCTTCGTTGTTTCCAGAGCGGCCCTGCCGGCCAGATCTAAGCACCCCGTGGGCCAGTTCCAGCCTGCGGGCCTTGAGTTTGACACCCCTGATCTTTCAAACCTTGAGTTTAACACCCCATCTCAACTTCTAATTGCAAGAAAATCCATTTAAAAGGCCTGAGAGGGTCCCAATATTTCAATGTAACCAAAATAAAGAAAACCAAGTTTAACATGACCAAGAGATACCATTTCTCCTTTACAAAAAGCAAGCTCCAATACACCAAAGTTTTTCCTATTTTAAATACAATTCCCCCCAAAAACCCCACTCCTAACTCTATATGGTTTATTGCTGAGTGTCAAATCAGAGGTGGGTTTCAGTAGGTTCTGACCAGTTCTGGAGAACCGGTAGCGGAAATTTTGAGAAGTTCGGAGAACCGGTGGTAAAAATTCTGACTGGCCCCGCCCCCATCTATTCTCTGCCTCCCGAGTCCCAGCTGATCGGGAGGAAATGGGGATTTCGCAGTATCCGTCCCCCGGAGTGGGGTGGGAATGGAGATTTTACAGTATCCTTCCCCTGCCACACCCACCAACCAATGCCCACCAAACTACACCCACAGAACTAGTAGTAAAATTTTTTGAAACCCACCACTGTGTCAAATGCTTATTTATGTGTAGGAGCTTTATATATGTATACTCAGCCAACAGAAAGAAGAGACTTGTGAAATCATTCAGATTGGGATTGGGATAAAAACCAGTGAAAAAAGATTTATTGGTTGGTAACAAATAAGCTTCTTAGTTCAGGGACAAGTATTTAAGCGCTGGTCTTAATGACATTGTTTGCAGATATTTCTTACACCAGGAGGCTCAGGGCTGCACCAGTGGCTGCTATGCCAGCTTTGGTAGTGATAGCAAGGCCTGCTGCCCCTAGGGTGAAAAACAAAAATAGATAATAAATTAGGAAGATGAAAAACAAATGATCAAATGTTCTACAAGTATCCAAAAACAATAATGTGGTATCTTGGAAACTTAAAAGTAAGATCTAAGGCAAATTGAGCTAAGGAAAATAAGCTACACATATATACAGAAGTACTGCAAATGTATATAGTACAATTATACATTGATGTTGTTTATTGTCTGCTTAATACTCAGGTAACTGCACCCTGGAAGTTCTTGGTTCCTATAGATTTTGAGGTTTAGTGTGTTTGTGTGTTCATTAAGTGCTTTATTTTCAAGGCGCTCTGAAACTTCACATTCAGTAGGATAAAAACAGCTAAACTCAGCATCACTTAATTATTGTTATGTATTTTTTTTCAAAGGTTTGGCACTGATATCTTGGTTTTGGATAGCTGATTGACTATCATTCAATCTTGCGCCCTGTAAAGTTCATTCTATTGCGCCCTTTTGTTCAGGACACATTTAAAAATGCAAACGATTTTACATTCATCTATTAAAATACAGTCATATGGACATATGGCCTATTCCAGAGGTGGGTTTCAGCAGGTTCTGACCAGTTCTGGAGAACCGGTAGTGGAAATTTTGAGTAGTTCGGAGAACCGGTAAACACCACCTCTGACTGGCCCCGCCCCCATCTATTCTCTGCCTCCCAAGTCCCAGCTGATCAGGAGGAAATGGGGATTTTGCAGTAACCTTCCCCTGGAGTGGGGTAGGAATGGAGATTTTACAGTATTCTTCCCCTAGAGTGGGGTGGGAATGGAGAATTTACAGTATCCTTCCCCTGCCACACCCAGCAAGCCACACCCACCAAGCGATGCCACGCCCACAAAGCCACACCCACAGAACCGGTAGTAAAAAAATTTGAAACCCACCACTGGTCTATTTATCCTTGAGCACTGTTGATGTAGTATATGCTATATTTAATGCAAAAGCTACTTTGCACTTGATGATTTGACCTGTATATTCTCTCTTCCAATATAACTTCAAGAATGCAAACAATCCTATAATTGTTTGGAGTACTAGTAGTACTATATACTACTTGGGGGATTAAATGAGTAGCTGGGCAAAGAGAAATAAAATGTTTGGTGTTTCCAGGATGGGGCCTCTGAGTAACTTCTTTTTTTTAAATCCTCCCATCTACCTCCAAATGATCATTGGATCAGGTAGAAACTGCCACTTGTTTTTCTTTCAGGAAAAATGGAAAAAGTAAATGCAGGCAGATCTTTAAATACTGGATGGACAGAAACAATTGAATTAGGTTTAGGACACGGGTCAGCAACTTGCGGCTCTGGAGCCCCATGTGGCTCTTTCATCCCTCTGCTGCGGTTCCCTGTCACTCAAAATATGCTTCACAACCGTCAATGTGCGACACCTGCAGGCACACGATTTATTGAGCTTTTCAACCCCCGGTAGGCCAACCATGGATAAATCCAAGAAAAGAAAAGTTTCAGAAGAAAACTTTTCAACTACATTTGCTAGTTTGGTGGCCGCTCAAGAAATAGTCAGGCACGGGAAGGGTTTTGTGGCTCCTGGTGTTTTCTTTTCTGTGGGAAACGGGTCCAAATGGCTCTTTGAGTGTTTAAGGTTGCAGACCCGTGGTTTAGGAGAAGACAAGGCAGAGGTCTATTTGATTTTTTTAAAAAAAAAATAGCTTTCTCATAGAATCAGTTTAATATTTTCTGCACAGATGTCCATCTGGCCTCAAGAAGCTAATTAGGTTTATCTCGTTGGGTATCTAATTTAAGGTCAGATACACAAAAAAACAGTGCAGAGCTTCCATTTGTACCATCGTGGCCACCATCTTGATCTTTTGGACTACCCTCCCAAAACCCCTGGAAGTAATTGATTTTTTGAAAGGGATCATGTGTCTTGTGAGGAACCACAAACCACAAAGCCAGCCTATTTCTCATTGCATCCTTTCAATAGAACACCTGTTCTTCCAAAGAAAAAGGGAACCCTGGTGCTAATGTTACAGTACCAGATTTGGACAAAAACCACTAGATGGCAGCAAAGAGTTAATAGAAACAGAAAACTGGGCAGGAAAAGACCCTGTTTGCACTTTTGAGTTTGGTTTTCTTTTTAATTAATTAATTTATTAATTAATTTAAAATAATTTAATTTAAAATAATTTAAAATAAAATAATTAATTTAAAATAATTTTAAAATGATTTTACATTTTATTTATTTTTATTTTATTTTTAATTTTTGTCAGATGATGGACGTGTATTTTTCCCAAGCATGTTTAAACTCAAGTTAAATGTCTTTTATATCCAGGTGCTGCCCTAGGGTTCTGAGTTTCAGTTTCTCCCTTGGGCATAACACCACAAATGATTTCTGGTTTGTTTTGGCTGTAGCGTGGTGGCTTTGTTTCTGCCCAATTGTGGCTGGCATGGAGCAGGTTAACAGAACTCCCACGGGTCAGTCTTTGGTTCTGAGTTCCAATACAACACTTTCTTTATTTTGCACATACCCTTATTTGAAAAGGCAAAGGACCGATCTAAAATTATGGGGGCGACATGGTGCACCCATGTAGCACCTCTTCTGCGCGAGCTGCACTGGCTCCCGGTGGTCTTCCGGGTGCGATTAGAGGTGCTGGTCACCACCTTTAAAGCGCTCCATGGCTTAGGACCGGGTTATATACAAGATCGCCTTCTGCCACCGATAGCCTCCCACTGGCCAGTACGCTCCTACAGAGAGGGACTCCTCAGGGTGCCATCAGCCAAACAATGTCGACTGGCGACACTCAGGGGGAGAGCCTTCTCTGTGGGGGCACCTGCCCTCTGGAATGACCTGCCCCTGGAGGTTCGCATGATCCCCGACCTACGTACCTTTCGCCGTGCCCTTAAGACTCTTTTGTTCCAACAGGCCGGGCTGGCTTAGAAAATGAATTTTAAATTGGGTGTTTGTAGCTTTTAACATAAGGGCCAAATTTATATATTTTATTTTAAATTGTTTTTTAAATTTTGTGAGTATATGTTTGTTTTAATATGGCTGTACACCGCCCTGAGTCCTTCGGGAGAAGGGCGGTATAGAAGTTTAATAAGCTAACTAACTAACTAACTAAAATGATTGGGCTAGAAACCTAAGCTTTCTTGTTCTTGAGCCATTTAAAGTGCCAGTAGGGAATAACAGTTAATATACCGAGACAGAAATTGGGGACCCTGAGTTCTAATCCTGCTTTAAATCTTTGGGCCAGTCCCTCTCTTACCCCTAGGAAAAAATGCAGCCATGGCGAATTATTTCATTGTTTGTTGCATTTTTAAACTGGCCTTTTTCCTCACAGAGGGTCTCTGGGCAGTGTACAATAAAATATTACAATATAAAAAAAACACATAAAAGTTAAAAATTTAAAAGAGGCAACTTAAAACATTATTAAAAACAATTAAAAGATGAACCGGGGGAGGGGGGCTTTCAGGGCACCAATCCACTCCCTGGTTGCATGCTCCTCTGAGCTCTCCACACAAGACCACAGAGCTTGGGGCATAGTCCACAGGGCAGGAATAATGACAAGAGAAGACTCTCTTACATCTTGCCAGTTGGAATTCTTTAACTGACAGGGTCTGCAATATGCCGTATTTTTCGGAGTATAAGACACACCGGAGTATAAGACGCACCTTAGTTTTTGGGGAGGAAAATAAAAAAAAAGCTGATTGGCAGGTAGATTGGCCTCCCGGAGTAGCCACAATCAGCTGTTCCCAGAGGTGAATTTTAGCAACAGGTTCCTTGGTTGTGAGCTCTGTGCCTTGCTTTTTTTTTTGGCTTTTTTTCTGCCTCTGACACTTCTGAAACTCTGTTTCAGAAAAAACCTTTTTTCCTGCCTCTGAAAGCCTCCAAAACAGCTTCAGAAAAAAAGCCTCTGAAGCTCTGTTTGGGGGCTTCTTTTCTGAAGCTTTGTTTTTGATGCTTTTTTCAGCCTCTGAAACCTCTGTTTGAGAATTCAGGTGGGGCTACATTCGGAGTATAAGACACACCCAGATTTTCACCCTCTTTTTTGGGGGAAAGAGGTGCGTCTTATGCTCCGAAAAATACCGTACCTTCCCTGCCGGACCAGGTGGGGCAGGCAAATGTAATGGGACAAGACGGTTTGGTAGGTGGCCCGGCCCCATGCCATGGAGGCCTTTAAAGGTCATAACTGACTCCTTCAATTGGACCTGGAGGGAAACCGGCACCCAATGCAGTTCATGGAGCAAAGGTGTCAGCCTGCGGGTCGCATTCTGCACCAGCTGAAGCTTCCACATACTTTCAAGGGTAGCCCCATGTAGAGTGCATTGCAGTGGTGGGTTTCAAAATTTTTTACTACTGGTTCTGTGGATGTGGCTCGGTGGGCGTGGCATGGCTTGGTGGGCATGGCAGGGGAAGGATACTGTAAAGTCTCCATTCCCACCCCACTCTAGGGGAAGATTACTGCAAAATCCCCATTTCCTCCCAATCAGCTGGGACTTGGGAGGCAGAGAATAGATGGGGGCAGGGCCAGTCAGAATTTTTACTACTGGTTCTCTGAACTACTCAAAATTTCCGCTACCGGTTCTCCAGAACTGGTTAGAACCTGCTGAAACCCACCTCTGGTGCATTGCAATAGTCCGAATGGAAGATGACCAGGGAGATTTAAGTGAGAATTAAGTGGAGAGCCTTCTCTATCCAGGAAAAGCCCTGGCAGTTTTTGGTACCAGTTGATAAATTTGCTTAGAAAACTGCAGGGACTTGCCCAGGCAGTCACCAGGAGTCTGGACTGATTTGAAGGCACAGATCAATCCATCAGTTGCCATTTTAGGACTTGCATTAGGGTTTCCCACCATGGAACAATAAGAAACCGTTGTCCACTTATGCCAAAGTCTCCATAAAGAGTGTTTGGGGGGGGGGTGTCACACGGGTCCCGGGAAAACAAGTTGCCCATCCACAAGAGAGAAAGGCATTTTAAAGCATACCTGGCTGATATTTCCTTTTATTAAAACCGTTTAAAGCAGAGGTCTCCAACCTTGGCAACTTTAAGCCTGGAGGACTTCAACTCCCAAGAATTCTGGGAGCTAGCTGGGGAATTCTGGGCAAAGCTGGTTGGGGAATTCTGGGACAGTGATGGGTTGCCCCTGGTTTACCGGTTCACAAGAACCGGTAGTAAAACCGGTGGGAGGCTCCGCCCACCGGACATCATCAGGAAGCTTCTGCACATGTGCAGAAGCACGTGCGGTCCCGTTGCGAACTGGTAGTAAAGGTACCATATTTTTCAGAGTATAAGACGCACTGGAGTATAAGAAGCACCTACCTTTTTTGGTGAGGAAAAGAAGAAAAAGAAATCTGCCTCTGCCTCAGAGCAATTTTGCCTCCTTGGAGCAAACAGCCTGCTTTACTTTCATTTTCGTTTTCAGCATCGCTTGATTAGCACAAGGGGAAAAAAAAAATCTGCTCCAGCAATTTACCTCTTTGCAGCCATCAGCAGAGCCCTGCGCAAAACAGCTGAGAGCAAATCAGCTGAGAGTCAGGAGGCAGATCCAATCAACTTGTGCTAATTTGGCTGTGCTGAAGCTGAAAGGAGCTGTTTTTTTCTCGCTGTTTGCTTGCAAGGAGGTAACTGCTGCAAGGCACAGGCCAAAGGGTGGGGGCCAGTGGGTGGGCGGGGCTACATTTGGTGTATAAGACGCACCTAAATTTTTACCCCCTTTTAGGGGGGAAAAAGGTGTATCTTATACTCCGAAAAATACGGTAAGAAGAACCTACCCCTGTTCTGGGAGTTGAAGTCCGCCAGGCTTAAAGTTGCCAAGGTTGGAGACCCCTGCTTTAAAGCAATAAAATTCAGTGTCTATGTTCCCGTTGGCACCTTCCCACAAGTATATAGGTATCCTCCCCCTCCCCCCACAAATCACAATTTAGGCCTTTGAGGAAATGGGACAATCATGTGCAAAAGGCTATGTCATAATAAATGGCTGGGCCACTACAGGTTTCGTTGCAAGAGAGCAAAATATTGAAAAGCGATACTGACCAGCGGATTGTGCGAGGGCAACGAGGCTTCCAGCGACCACACCACCACCGCTGGCTATGGCTGACGATGACATCATCGTTGCTGCCAATGACCCAGCAGCAATGCCGGCAGCCGTGAAACCCACACCGGTCAGTACAAGTGGTGCCCCCAGGACACTACCTGAAAAGTATGCTGTTAGTTACTGCTGCACAGACATAACCTACATCTGAAGTAATTTCGTATCACTTGTTTATTGACTGCATTTTCTACCAATTTTTCCTCTCCACGCCTAATTTCTCCCCATTCAAGCAGGTGCATGGTTAAGGAGTTGACTGTGAATGTATGTCTCCTTAAACCAATCCTACCTTTTAACCACTAAACCACTGCTTTCTAAACCGAAACAGCTACAACCTCTCCCAGGAGCTGGTTTTACTCAAGGAAGGCAGCAAACGAATCTTTCATCTCAAAACAAGCTGCTTCTAATGTGCTCTGTAAACAGGAACGACACGCTGGACTGTATTACATGGCGTACAATGCAGGAATCCATCAGGATAAAAAGGACAGGCAATCCTTGACTTACAACTGTTTGTTTAATGACCATTCGAAGTTACAACGGTTTTGAAAAAAGTGACTTATGACCATTGCAACATTCCTACAGTCACAGGATCAAAATTCAGGCGCTTAGCAACTGCCGTGTATTTATTTATTTATGTGCCGTGGTCATGTGATTCACCATTTGCGACCTTCCCAGCCGGCTCCCAACAAAAGTCAATGGGGGAAGAAACCAGATATGCTTAACGACTGCATGATTCATTTAACAACTGCGGGTGATTTGCTTAACGACAGTGGCAAAAAAGTCATAGAATGGGGCAAAACTTACTTAACTGCCTTGCTTATCAATAGAAGTTTTGGACTCAACTGTGGTCATAAGCTGAGGACTACAGGTAGTCCTCGACTTACAACAATTCATTTAACGACTGTTCAAAGTTATAACAATACTGAAAAAAGTGACAATTTTCCAATTTTCACACTTGTGACCTTTGCAGCATCCCCACGATCACATGATCAGAATTCAGATGCTTGGCAAGTGGTTCATATTTACGAAAGTTGCAGTGTCCTGGGATCATGTGATCCCCTTTGCAACCTTTGGACAAGCAAAACAATGGGGAAGCCGGATTCACTTAACAACTGTGTTACTAACTTAAGAACCACAGTGATTCACTTAACAACTGTGGCAAGAAATGTCGTAAAATGGGGCAAAACTCAACAAATGTCTCACTTAACAACATAAATTTTGGGCTCAATTGTGGTCGTACGTCGAGGACTACCTGTATCTGTAAAGATTTTTAATAAATTGTTTTATATACGAGGTATTATTAAGTGATCTTCATACTTGTGAAGCTCATGAAGGGTGAATATTATGGCACAAAATTTGGACTACATACCTTCTACAGGTAGTTCTTGCTACCTGTAGAGGTACAGAGTTGCCCACCCCTGGTACAGATTGAAAACTGCACCTATCACTGAAGCTTCTAACTTTCCTATGGATCCCCAAATCATTTTTGTCAATAGTAACAAAAATTACTTGAGCAGTACAGAGTCTTGGTGCCCATGCTTCCTAAAAGCTAGAAAAATATCAAGGAAGAGCATTGTCATGTTCCCTCAGCACTAGGAAGATTTCTGGTCCAAAATGTTCCGCAGTTCTCTTTTTCCCAAACGAAACATCTTGCTTGCGCTAAGAACTACTCCTCTAACATAAAATCTCCCACTGTTTAGAGATACAGAGAAACAACTTACCAACGCCCAGTGCAGCGGCAATTAGCAACCCTAAGGAAATAGATATGTGCCAGTCATATTTTTGACATATATATCCTGTTTCCCCCAAAATAAGACACCCCCTGATAATAAGCTTTTGAGCACATGGACTAAAATAAGCCCCCCCCAATATTTAAACGCATATACAGCCGATCTCCGCCTTTTCCTCTGGTTAGGGAGACAGAGCTGGAAATCAGGTAAGACGGCAAGAGGACCCTCGTCTTGCTCCATGCGCCCCAAAATAATAAGACCTGCCCCAAAATAAGGCCAAGCGCTTATTTCGGAGTTCAAAAAAAAACAAGACAGGGTCTGTAAAAGAAACATTGAATTTTTCTATGAACGTGTGGGTAAAAAGAAGCTGGGCTATGATGACATGTATGCAGTTACCAATTTCTATCTCCCTCTCTCTCTCTCTCTCTCTCTCACACACACACACACACATATACACACATATACACATGTCTCACATTCAGACCTCTGATGTGAAGCCCTAATAATGGCATTTCCCCACCAATATGGCCAAGTGAACTCAGCCATTGTAACTACATCATACAAGATTGACCAGAAAATTAAATGGTCTTATTTCTCACCCATCGTTGCTGTTGATGGACCTGCAAGTAAAAAAAAGAAGAAACTCTGGTAAGAAAATACATTCTACAGCCAACACCTTCTGACCGCTGATCCAATGCCTTGCAGTCCATCCAACCATTATCCCCAGAACTGAAGTTTCCAATCAGTACTGTTTTCTAGGCAGCAAATCTGAACATATTTCCCCCAAGCCAACCGAGAACTACTGATTTCCCGCACTATGCTCAAAAAGTTCTGTAACCCATAAGGAAATGACTAAAATCCAAACTAACAAAACCAGGTTATTCTTACTAAATGAAGCTGGTACACCTCTTAAAGGATTTACCAAAACCTATCTCAGGTACTCCCTGTACACTGGCTTAAAAACTTTCCACAGTGGGCGTGGCTAGTGACAGATATCTAATAGGATTGCAGATATTTCTGCCTTGGTTGCCATGATGCACTGTCCAGCTATTTAATATTGACCCAGCCCCCAAATCTTATTTTTAGGTTTCGATTTCCCAAGTAACGTTTTAATTTCGATTTTCCAGCAGAGGAAAAGAATTAGGGACTTTCCTGTGGGTTGATGGCAATGCATGAGGCCCTTGCCAGCATTGCAATAATATTCACATCCTGACAATTTGCTGAGGGACGGTAAACTTCATCTGTCATGGGCTGCTTGGTTTATGTAATGCTGAACTGCAAGGGTCAGATAACAAGCAGGAAAGAAACAGACCAGGTTTTTAGGCATGTTACTGTTTGCAAGCTTTTTTTCTGGATGTCCAGATGGCAACCAGCTGAGGTTTACAACTCTCTTACTATTTCTAAGGCCATTGTCAAGAAACTGCACAGACAGAACATCCTCAGAATCCATTAATCCTCTGAATCAATACACAATTCCAGCCCTCGTGTAATGCCAATCACATGGGCACAATTCAGAAGGACATATACAATGATATATGCAGGGGTGGGATTCAGCCTATTCGGTCCGGTCCGGACGAGCCAGTTGCTCCGACGATCAGCTGAGAGCAAACCAGTTTTCTCCGACAGTCAGCTGGGCCTGCCCGCCTATCCCTGCACTATACCTACTGAAAGGAAACAGTAATAAGGATATACTAAATAATACTAGAATATAATATACTGGTATACTAGAATTAGTAGAAACTTGTTATTCTGTAACCATTAGGTTCCTGTAATACATATATAGCCTTTGTGTTTGTATAATACACATATATTGTACCTTTATATCTGTAACACAAATATGCCTTTGTATTTGTATCACATATATTATGCCTTTATATTTGTATCTCCTGTAACAAACATATTCTGTTATTAGACCTCTGTAATGTATCTGGTATTAGTCAAACATATGTTTCTGTCATTTGATCTGAACCCATATCAATCTTCTTCCTGTTTTTCTCGTGCCATCTAAGAGCATGGTACCTATCTCAGTTGGTACCTATCTCAGTTGGAACTGCAGACATCATCCGGGAGATAATTCAGCCCTAATTTACACCTTTGATCTGTATAAGCTCCTTCCTTGCAGAACCAGGGGGCCAAATGGCCAATTGAGAGAACAAAGGAATGCTCAAGGAAGAGATAACGCTAATTGGGAGGCTTCTATTCCTTTGCAGGGCAACAAGGAATACACAAACCTAAACTAGGAGGCCCGAATTGGGTACTAAGCTGATGCCTCTGAGGGTATAAAAAGGATGCCATATCTTCCCCAAGGTGTGACTATCTCCTCACATGCATTGTATCTGTATGTTCTGGATATAGTCCCACCCAGTATTTTGTTTTTGGCCATAAATAAAATCTGCTTCTTTTTGCAAGCCTCGTCTTGAGTCTCTCTCTTTGGCATTCTGGTGATTCAAGTATATTTTGGGACCTTATACTACCTATATTTCGTTCGTTTGAAGCCCAGCTGATAGGCATGGCAGAGCGGATTGCCGCGCCTCAGCTGTTTTGAAATGTAATGCGCTCGCGTGGAGCGAACCGGTTGTTACACCGGTTGAAACCCACCACTGGATATATGGATAATTGTTCAACAACCAGCAATGTTGCACCACTAGTTGCCAAATGACAATTTAACAATTTAACAATTGGCTCTCGCAAGCTGGTATAAAGCTGGCTGCAGCAGACCACTGGACATACATGTTCTTTGTTGAGCTTTACAGCTTGTTGGACAAACTCAGCAAGAGCTCCGAGATACCTTAAACCTATTAAAGAAACCCTCTGAATCTTATAAATCTGATCAATCAAGGAATAAAATGCCAGAAGCAACCTCTGGAGGGCTGTTGGAGAAAGATTGAACTTAACCAAAGACAAGTAAGAGACCATATGCAGGCCTACGTTGATAGATGACTTCTTTGTCCATTGCTACAGATTGGGATGAAGTTATGCATGCGGTTGTCAGACTTGCCACAGCTTGAACTCCTAAGTAGAAAGGATCCTTGGCTTCATTTGTTGGGATAGGTATAGTTTTATTAGAAGTCAAGTGTGTTGTAGGAATGCATAGACAGAACTGAGAATCGTGTGCCAAAATCTCTAAGTTCAACGTTTCCCTCCCTTAGTTGCCTCCCATCACTGCCCCCGGACCATCAAGTTCAAGATGTTTTGAGAATGGTTACTTCAAGTATAGGTTGGCATGCAGCTACATTCTTCTCTCAGCTGGGTGAACAGGGTTCAGCAAGCAGCTTGGTGGGGGGGAATACAACATTTCCTTTTGCTTTCCCCAAACAGCAGTTAGTTTTGCTTTCCTGCAAGCAACCCCCCCTCCCATCCAGCCTCCCCATAGTTCAGTGGTGGGTTTCAAATTTTTTTACTACTGGTTCTCTGGGTATGGCTTGGTGGGCATGGCTTGGTGGGCGTGACAGGGAAAGGATACTGTAAAATCTCCATTCCCTCCCCACTCTAGGGGAAGGTTACTGCAAAATCCCCATTTCCTCCTGACCAGCTGGGACTTGGGAAGCAGAGAATAGATGGGGCAGGGCCAGTCCAGTGGTGGGTTGCCCCCGGTTCATACTGGTTCTATAGAACCGGTAGTAAAACCGGCGGGAGGCTCCATCCACAAACCCTGACATCATCAAAATGCTTCTGCGCATGTGCAGAAGAGCGTGCGCCAGTGGTGGGTTGCTCCTGGTTCGCACTGGTTCACAAGAACCGGTAGTAAAAATGTTTAGTAGTTTGGAGAACCGGTAATAACATTGGCTGGCCACGCCCCCGAACCAGTCCCCGTCCCGGTCGCCGCTCACTTACCCGCCCACCTCATCAGAGGCTTTTTTTTTTTTTACTTTTAAAAGCATTTTTTCTACAACCTCTTCAGCTGAAAAACTGCTTTTAAAAGTTTAAAAAAAACCCCTCTGATGATCTTGTGGCTCAGCTGGGATCTCAGAAGCTTTTAAAAGCATTTTTTTCTACAACCTCTTTGGCCGAAGAGGTTGTAGGAAAAAAAAATGCCTTTAAGAGCCTCTGGCGATCCCAGCTGACTTGCCTGATCATCAGAGGCTTCTAAAAGCATTTTTTCCTGCAACTGCTTAAAGTTGTAGAAAAAAATGCTTTTAAAAGTTAAAAAAAAAAAGTTGGCCATGCCCACCCAGTCACATTAACCCCTCCCACAAGCCCCACCCACAAAATAAGCCCCACCCACAGAACCGGTAGTAAAAAAATTTAGAACCCACCCCTGGCGCGCGAGCTTGCTTCGCTCACGTGCACACAGCCCCATTGTGAACAGGTAGTAAAGGTAAGTAGAACCTATCCCTGGGCCAGTCAGACTTTTTACTACCAGTTCTCCGAACTACTCAAAATTTCCACTATCGGTTCTCCAGAACTGGTCAGAACCTGCTGAAAACCACCTCTGCCATAGTTCATAGCAGATTGTCATTGCATGGCATCGAAGCACAAGCAGAGAGTGAGGTAGCAACTGACAGTGATGTTTTATGAAGCTAAATTTTGGCTTTAGTGTGTTCTATATTCTTTCTTTTTTAAAATGTTTTATTTGTTTTATTTATATAACATTCAATTTCCATCAAACAGTGTGTGATCTGAGTATAGTTATTTTTAAACAATCATAGTCCATATATTTGTTGTAATATTCATCACCATATTATTAATAATATAATAATATAATAACAATAATACTTAACCTCATCTTCTTTAATAACTCTCCACAATACCATTTCATCTTTTTATACAATTTCTCCTCATTTCTAATTTCTGTTTCTATTGTCTAACCATATCAAAAAATATTCAGTTTCTTCTTTATCCTTAATAGTGAGCGTTACTCTATCCATTTCTGCACATTCTAATATTCTCTTAATTACATTCCCCTCAGATGGAATCTCATCATTTTTCCATTGCTGTGCAAATACAGTTCTAGTTGCGGTTAACATATGCAAGACCAGATATATAATATTTTTATCATATTTTTCCGGTAGCATGCCCAACAAAAATATCTCTGGTTTCAAGTCTATATGTTGCTTTGTCATTTTTTCCAACCAAGTATGTATTTTCGTTCAGTATTTTTTAGCTTTTGGGCATGACCACATATGGTAGTATGAACCAGATGGTTGATTACACTTCCAACATTTAGCAGATCTATCTTTATACATTTTTGCCAGTGCATCTTACTCTTCCCATACCAGAGGTGGGTTTCAGCAGGTTCTGACCAGTTCTGGAGAACCGGTAGTTGAAATTTTGAGTAGTTCGGAAAACCGGTAGTAAAAATTCTGACTGGCCCCGGCCCCATCTATTCTCTGCCTCCCAAGTCCCAGCTGATCAGGAGGAAATGGGGATTTTGCAGTAACCTTCCCCTAGAGTGGGGAGGGAATGGAGATTTTACAGTCTCCTTTCCCTGCCATGCCCACCAAGCCACGCCCACCAAGCCACGCCCACCAAGCCATGCCATGCCCACCAAGCCACACCCACAGAACTGGTAGTAAAATTTTTTGAAATCCACCACTGTGACTGGGTGGGCGTGGCCAACTTTTTTTTTTTACTTTTTTAAAGCATTTTTTTTTACTACCGGTTTGGGCGAATAGGTAGTAAAAAAATGCTTTAAAAAAGAAGAAAAAGGTTCCGACGATCACAGCTGTGCCGCGCGATCATCAGAACCTTATTTTTATTTTTTAAAGCATTTTTTTACCTATTCGCCGGAACCCATAGTAAAAAAATGCTTTAAAAAAGAAAGAAAAAGGTTCAGAGGATCATGCGGCACAGCATCGGAACCTTTTTTTTTAACCTTTTTAAAGTATTTTTTACTACCGGTTCTCCCGAATTGGTAGTTTTTATCACTACCGATTCGCCTGAACTGGAGCGAACCGGTAGCATTTCACCCCTGCCTACAATTCCAAAAAACATCCCCACTCTTAACCATAGTTGAGTGTCAAATGCTTCTTTATTTAAGTGCTAGGAGCTTTATGTATGTATAATCAGCCAACAGAAAAGAAGAGACTTATTTGGATTATGATTGACATAAATCAATTATTGATTAGTAGCAAATAAGCTTCTTAGTTCGTAGATATGTATTTAAGTGCTGTTCTTCTCAATGATATCGTGAACTCCTTTCCAGATATTTCTTACACCAGGAGCCCCACCACTACACCAGTGGCTGTTATTGCAGCTTTGGTAGCAACCGAAAGGCCTGCCATCCCTAGGGTGAAAAACAAAAATGTAATATAATTAGGAAGATGAAAAACAAATTATCAAATGTTTTACAAGCGTCTGAAAATAATGGGATGTCTTGGAGACTTAAAAGTTAGATCTTATGCAAATTGAGTTAGGGAAAATAAGCTACACATATATGCAGAAGTACTGTAAATGTGTAAATAGTACAATTATACATTAGTCTTGTTTATTGTCTGCTTAAGTACTCATGTAAGTGCACCCAGGAAATTATTGGTTGCTATAGATCCGCAAACCTATGCCATGCGTGCCGGAAGTGGCACACAGAGCCATCTCTCCAGGCATGCAAGCCACTGCTCTTCCGGGTTCAGCATGCTGGCCAGCTGATCTTCATGGGCGGGAGTGCCGGAAACCGGAAGAGCAGCTGCCCAGTGCGCACACGCACACACGCCGGGAAGATGATTTTCCAGTTTCTGTTGTGCACATGTGCGCCGGCCACCTGGTCTTCCAGTTTCTGGCATGCATGCACGCGCGAAGATCAGACGGAAACCAGAAGATCATTTCCCCAGTGCACTGCGTTTCTGGTTTCCGGCGGGTGCATGTGCACCAGCTAGCTGCTCTTCTGGTTTCCGGCACATGTGCCCTCCCATTTCAGCACTTGGTGCTGAAAAGATTCACCAACACTGCTATAGATTTTGAGATTTAGAAATATACACACCAGGGGTGGGTTCTATTTATCTTCGCTCACGCGCACGCTCTTCTGCGCATGATGTCGGGGTCGGTGGGGGGACCCTCCCTCTGGTTTTACTACCGGTTCTATAGAACCGGTCTGAACCAGGGGCAACCCACCACTGATACACACGCATATGCAATACACTAAGTGCTTTATTTTCAAGGTGCTCTGAAACGTCACATTCAGCAGAATAAATGCAGCTTAACTTAGTATTGCTTAATTATTGTTATGTATTTTTTTCAAAGGTTTGGCACTGATATCTTGGTTCTGGATAGCTGTTTGACTATCATTCAGTCTTGGGGTGTGTAAAGTTCATTCTCTTTGCTCTCAAATTCTCAATCTGGCCCACAGTGATTGACATCCACTGTTGGAGGATGGATTGAGTAAAATGTGTTGAAACTCACTTTAACAATGCTCTTGCTTAGCAGCCAAAATTTTTGGGCTCAATTGTTATCGTAAGTTGAGAACTATCTCTGCCTTCCTCTGCATGACATCCTTGCCTAGTAAACTCCTTCCCTTTTCTGGGAATTTCTCCTTTGTGGCACTAAAATAACCAAGATGATATAAGGTCTCCTGCTGGAGCAGAGGGTTGGACTAAATGACCTCCGAGGACCCTTCAGCTGTGCTATTTCAAAGCATCCTCTGAAGCTGCGTCTAGTGCCAGCATTTGTGGTCCTTCCTTCCTCTCCCTTTTCTCTCCCTCCTTCCCTCCCTCCCTCTATCCATCCGTCCATCCATCCATCCATCCATCCATATCTCATTCACTTTCCCTTCCCTCTTTCTCCCTTCCCTTCCCTCCCTCCCTCCCTCCCTCCCTCCCTCCCTCCCTCCCTCCCTCTTTCTTTCTTTCTTTCTTTCTTTCTTTCTTTCTTTCTTTCTTTCTTTCTTTCTTTCTTTCTTTCTTTCTTTCTTTCTTTCTTGTCTGCCTTCTCTCTCTCCCCCCCCTTCCCTTTGGATGAAACCGGTGTATTTACTGCCCCCCACCCCGCTCTTCCCTTCCCGTTCGTTATCAGGAAGGCACGATCAGATACAGGGGAGCTTCCACCCCTCCCCTTCCTTCTCCTAACAAGCGCCTGAGACCGTTTGGCTGCAGCACCTCCCCCAACCCCCCAACCCCAGTCGTGCGATCGATCGCACCGTGGCTTTTGGCTGCCAGCATTGGCAGCTAGCCGATTGGCCAGCAGCTAACTGACCCAGGCAGCCAAAAGTCCGGGGTGAACAGTGTGGTGTCAAATGGGCAGGGCAAAGCACGTGGAATGGAGGGGCTGTGGCCCATTGGCCAGGGCGAACAGTTAGGGGCATGTCAGCCAAGGGGAAAAGTTACCGGTGAATGCCTGGAGGTGGAACCTTGGTGGAGAAGCAGACACGGCCAAGGGTAGGAGCTGAAAAGTCCTATTCTGCCTGCAACACTCTGCCAGTGAAAACGGGAGGGTGGCCCTCCTGAGCTCTGTTTTCATTGGCAGAGGGTTGCAGGAGGCAGTGGTAGCTGAAAACGGAGCTCAGGAACCCATTTTTGCTGGCAGAAGGACCGCGGCCCAGTTCTTCACTGTTTCCAGGCTGGCTCCATGGGCCAGATCTAAGTACCCTGTGGGCCAGATCCAGCCCCTGGGTCTTGAGTTTGACACCCCTGGCTTAGCCATTACAGGTTTTGTTACAAGAGAGCAAAAAACTGAAAAGAGATACTGACCAGCTGATTGCCCGAGGGCAACGAGACTTCCAGCGGCCACACCACCACCGTTGGCTATGGCTGCAGCTGACATCATCTTCGCTGCCAGTGATCCGGCAGCAATGCCAGCAGCCATGAACCCCACGGCACTCAGTACCAGCGGAGCCCCGATGACGGCAGCTCCTGAAAAGCATGCTGTTAATTACTGCTGCACAGACATAACCTAGATCTGAAGTAAATTTGTATCACTTCCATAACTTCGATAACCATTTGTCTGAAGTGGTGTAGGGATTCCTGCCTGGGCAGGGGGTTGGACTAGAAGACCTCCAAGGTCCCTTCCAACTCTGTTATTCTATTCTATTCTATTCTATTCTATTCTATTCTATTCTATTCTATTCTATTCTATTCTATTCTATTCTATTCTATTCCATCACTTGTTTATTTACTGCATTTTCTACCAATTTTTCCTCTCCACACCTTATTTCTCACCAGAGTCATTCAATCAGCTACACAGTTAAAGTGAATGTATGTCTCCTTAAAGCAATCCAGCGTTTTAACCAATAAATTGGCTTTCTAAATTACTTCACCTGCCTGCATATCCCTTAAGGCAGGGGTGGGTTCTACTTAACTTTACTACCGGTTCGCAACGGGAGCTTCTGCGCATGCGCAGATTGTCAATTATGACGTCTGGGCGAGTGGGCAGAGCCTCCCGCCACTTTTACTACCGGTTCTAAGAACCAGACAGAACTGGGAGCAACCCACCACTGCCTGAAGGTCTACTCTAAACAGAAACAGCTACAACCTAACCCAGTAGTGGCTTTACTCAAGGAAGGCAGCAAACTAATCTTTCAACAAAAAAGCTGTTTCTCAGTGTTGAACATTAATGACACATTGATCACAGTGAACATTAATGACACGTTGAATCACGCTGCATAGACTTTTACCCATTTTACCCAAATCCATTTGGGTAAAATGGAACCGATACAGGCAGTCCTCGACTTACAACCATTTGTTAGTGACTGAAGTTAAAATGGCAATGAAAAAAGTGACATGACCATTTTTCACACTTTTATAACGGTTGCAACTATTGCCCATCCTGGATACAGATTGAAGACTGCACTTATCACTGAAGCTTCCAACCTCCCTATGGATCTTGAAATCATTTTGGTTAAAACAAAAGGTACTTGGGCATTATAGGTTCTTGGTGTATTTGTGCTTCTTAAAAGCTAGGGAAAAAAGGAAAGACATTCTCAAGTTCCATCAGCACTAGAAAGAGTCCCAAAATCTAGAGTTCTATTTCCCCCCAAACTAAACATTTTGTTTGCCCTGGGAACTCCTCTAATGCAAAATTCTCCCACCAATATAACAGTCCATAGAGAAACAACTTACCAAGTCCAATGGTAGCTCCTGTTAGAAACCCTAAGGAAATAGATACGTGTCAGTCAGATTTTTGACATATATACTAAGCTTCAAGAAAAGACTTGTATTGCCAGGGGAAGTCATGTTTAACACTTCCCAATGGAAAGATTGAATTTTTGGGAAACCACTTCTGGACTTTGTGCTTGAGGTAGAAAAAAATGAAACTTTGATTAATAGGTTAATAGAATTTTATAGGTTAATAGAATTCTATTAATAGATTAATAGAAATGGCTAGTTTATATTACTATGTAAAAGTAAAAGGTTGAAGTTTGATATTATTATCTTATTCTACTACATCAAAGGGAGTCGGAAGTCAACACCTTTTCTTTCTCTTTTTCCCACATTTTCCACTTCCTCTTTTCCTCCATAGTTGGGCTATGATGATGTGTAAGCAGTTGCCATTCTCACTCTCTCTACTTCCCTCCCTCCCTCCCCCCTCTCTCTCACACATGCATATTTCTCACACTCAAACACCCCTACCAAGGATGCCTCTAATGTGAAGTGTTAATAATTGTATTTCTCTCTTTTACATGGCCAAGTGAACCCAGCTGTTGTAACTGTATCAAAAAAAGTTGGCAACATGTTTATGACTAGAAAGTTAATTCATTAATTAAAAATTAAATTCATTGCTCTTATTTCTCACCCATCGTTGCTGTTGATGCACCTGCAACTAAAAAGTAGAAACTCTGGTAAGAAAATACATTCTACAGCCAACATCTTCTGACCGCTGACCCAATGCCTTGCAGTCCATCCAACCATTATCCCCAGAACTGAAGTTTCCAATCAGTACTGTTTTGTAGGCAGCCTAGGTACCAAATCTGAACATATTTTCCCCAAGTTAACCGAGAACTATTGATTTCCCGCACTATGCTCAAAAAGTTCTGTAACCCAAAAAGAAATGACTAAAATTCAAACTACCTGGTACCTTGTAAGTCAGTAGAGGAAACAAAACCAGGTTATTCTTACTAAATGAAGCTGGTGCTCCTCTTAACGGATTTACCAAAACCATTGGCTTAAAAAAAATTCCACAGTGGGCGCGGCTAATGACATATCCAATAGCATTGCTGATAGTTCTACTTTAGTTTCCATGATATACCTTCCAGCTATTAAATATTGACCCAGTCCCCAGTATCTTATTTTTAGGTTTCGGTTTCCCAAGCATTATTTTAATTTCAATTTCCCAGCAGAAGAAAAGAAACAAGGACCTCCCTGTGGGTTGATGACAACGCATGAGGCCCTTGCCAGCATTGCAATAATATTCACATCCTGACAATTTGCTGAGGGACAGTAATCTTCATCTGTCCGGGGGCTGCTTGGTTTATGTAATGCTGAACTGCAAGGTTCAGATAACAAGCAGGAAAGAAACAAACCAGGTTTTTAGGCTTGTTACTGTTTGCAAACTTTTTCTACCGTGTTTCCCAGAAAATAAGACCCTGTCTTATATTTTTTTGAACCCTGAAATAAGTGCTTGGCCTTATTGCCATGCGCTCAAAAGCCCGATCAGGCTTATTCTCAGGGGATGTCTTATTTTGGGGAAAACAGGGTAGATGTTCATATAGCAACTGGGTGAAGCTTGCAATAAACAGAAACCTTATGTAAAATGCCAATCATGCGGGCATAATTCATAATTCACATGTATAGTGATATATGGATAATTGTTCAACAACCAGCAATGCCGCACCACTAGCTGCCAAACGACCACACTTGAGCCCAAAATTTATGTTGCTAAGTGAAACATTTGTCCAGTGAGTTTTGCCCCACTTTACAACATTTCTTGCCACAGTTGTTAAGCGAATCATTGCAGTTGTTAAGTTGGTAACATTGTTAAGTGAATCTGGCTTCCCCATTGACTTTGCTTATCAGAAGGTCCCAAAAGCTGATCACATGCCCTGGGACAATGCAACGGTCATAAATACAAATCAGTTGCCAAGCATCTAATTTCAATTAGTATCTGTCCTAATACAAAGTGACATGGGTATTTATGTACTAGACCAGAGGAAAAGAAAAATGTTATTTCTCTTGTCATCCAGACCATTGTCAGAGGATCAACATTGCAGGGAAATTGTTCATTGTTTGCTATTAGATGGACATCGTGGTCTACAGCAGGATTTCTCAACCCTAACAACCAAAAGATGTGTGGACTTCAACTCCCAGAATCCCCCAATTGTCGTTGAGGAAATAAATCAATGTACCGTAAACCTTTATCTCTATTAAGATCTACTTTAACAAATGAGCCTCTGAAGCAGTTCACAAGAAATGTTTTTTATTTATATAATAATAAAACAATATCTATTCAAATACTAAATAGTATTTCATTACTTTGCTTAAATATACTGTCAGATATATATATATATATATATATATATATATATGTAATCGCTCTAAGCAATGCTAGTTCTGGCTATTCTTCCTCAGAAGAAAGAGTCTTGTAAACCATCATCAGTTCTGCATCGGAACTGCCCTTCTAACTGACTTCCAAACTGCCCACAGTTTTCTAACAGAAGAGCTGAACATAACACTCAGAACTGCCCTTCGAAATGCTAACGAAACTGCCAACAGTTTTCTGTCAAGAATCCCCTTTTATACTGTCAACTGTGACAGTTAGGGGAGGGAAGATAAAAGCCCGGGAGAGTCAAACCCGTCAGCTGCCTTCTGATTGGCTCACCCTCTTGTCCATTCCAAAAGCCATTAATAGGCACAGCAATTGAGAAATAACTTTTGTCTCATACCCAGCCAGCATGGTAATTGAACCCCGCACATCTTAGCAGAAACACTGCTGTATTGGCTGAGGGATTCTGGGAACTGAAGTCCACACATCTTAAAAGGTGCCAAGATTGGAAACACTGGTCTAGAGGATGGAGGGGCATTGGATGTCATGTAGCGGCTACCAGACACAAATAGCATCTGAGTTTCAGTTGCAGGCTGAATTTCATCTGAATAGTGGCGGAAGATAAGCTGATATTTTGGGGAAAAATTTCACAGCCTTGTTCCGGAAAACAAGGACCTTTGAACCACTGTCCTTAAGGAGTAGATACAAGTAGAGACTAGATCTCAAGCAGAAGTGGGTTTCAGCAGGTTCTGACCAGTTCTGGAAAACCGGTAGCGGAAATTTTGAGTAGTTCGGAGAACCGGTAGTAAAAATTCTGACTGGTCGTACCCCCATTTTACAGAATCCTTACCCTGCCACGCCAACCAAGCCACGCCAATCAAGCCATGCCAGGCCCACCAAGCCACACCCACAGAACCGGTAGTAAAAAATTTTGAAACCCACCACTGATCTCAAGTATACTCAAGTACACAAAATGGCTGCCCTGATGGGGCTGATTCTCTCTCTGCTTTTATTTATTTATTTATTTATTTATTTATTTATTTATTTATTTATTTATTTATGCAATTTATATGCCACCCTATCTCCAAGGATTCAGGGCGGCTCACAATGGTAAAATGCATAGTTCCTTATTAAAATAATATAAAATTAAAACCCAATTTAAAACAGTTTAAAATTCATTAAAAAACCCCCATTAGTCCAGGCTATGGAACAACCAGGTCTTCAACTCGCGGAGGAATGAGCGAAGGTCAGGGGCCATCCGGAGTTCCAAAGGAAGTTGGTTCCGGAGGGTGGGTGCACCCACAGAGAAAGCTCTCCCCCTGGGAGGTCGCCAGCCGACACTGTCTGGCCGACGGCACCCTGAGGAGGCCCTGTCTGTGGGAACGCACCGGGCGATTGGGGATTGTCGCTGGCTGCAGGGGGTCCGACAGATATCCCGGGTCTAGGCCATGAAGGGCTTTATAGGTGATAACCAGCACCTTGAACCTCACCTGAAGGGCAACCGGTAACCAATGCAAGCCGCACAGGAGGGGTGTAACATGGGAGGGTCGGGACGCTCCCATCACAACCCGCGTGGCCGCATTCTGCACCAGCTGAAGCCTTCGAGTGGTTTTCAAGGGCAGCCCTAGGTAGAGAGCGTTGCAGTAGTCAAGACGAGAGGTGACCAGTGCATGAGTAATGGTGCGTAGGGCATCTTGGTCCAAGTAAGGGTGCAACTGTCGCACAAGGCGAACCTGGGCAAATGCCCCCCTGGTCATGATCGTCACATGGTCTTCCAGAGACAACCGTGAATCCAGGAGGATACCCAAGTTGCGGGCCCTATCCACAGGGGTAACACCTCACCCCCGATGGTCAACTCTGCCCAGTCAGAGTCCAGACCGTCCCGAATCCAAGCAATCTTATCCAGCAGATGCTGACTAAACTCCTCGGCACGTTCCTGCAAAGGATTGTTCCCCGCCCTCCGATTTAGGAGGGAGCAGGACACCCTGAACAGGGCGGCCAGGTGATTATCTGTGGACGCAATGAGGGCAGAGAAGTATGCCCACTTCGCTGCTTCCATCGCCACCAGATAGAATCATGTGAATGATCCCAACTGGGAACGGTCGGATTCGGAACAGCTGGCTCTCCAACCGCTCTCTAGGCCTCTCCTATGGCGCTTCATCTCCCGGAGCTCCTCCGTGAACGAAGGATCCAGCCGGGATCTGCGTCAAGTCAGAGGCCGCAAAGGCATGACACGGTCGACTGCCCCGGAGGCTGCCTTTTCCCAGGCATCCAGCAGAGCCTCGACCGGGGCGTGGGAGAGGGAGAGAGGTATTGTCCCAAGCTCCGTCTGGAACCTCTCCAGGTCCATCAGGCTGTTGCTGCCTTGGGAGGGGTGGGGATGGGGGATAGGGATCTCTCTTTCTCACACACACCATCTTTTCCTTCAGAACAGGATGAGAGGCAGGAAAATCCTCCCCCCATTTTGAATCCGTTTGCAAAAAACGCCCCATTCAGAGCCTTCAATGTTGGAGTTCTAGAATATGCTGAAGGCTCAGAATGGGGCGTTTTTTGCGAACGGCTTCAAAATGGGGGGAGGGGGATTTTCCTGACTCTCACCTTGTTCTGAAGCTCAGCACAGACTGTGAACAGGATAAGAGGCAAAATCCCCCCTCCCTATTTTCAAGCCATTTGCAAAAATGCCCCATTCCAAGCCTTCAATGTGAATATGCAGGTGCCCCTTCCCATTGTCATCTATTTTTATATCCATCCTTACATTGATTAATTATGTAATACAATTGTTTAATACAAATTCAACATTTTAATATAAATCAATATAACTATCTTTTTTTGTATATTAATCAATATGAACATGAATATTCCAATTATTTCCATGCAATCCAATTTCTTACAAATCAATTAATTATATTTACCAATAATAATAAACCAAATAATTTTCCCCATATATTCCTCCAAACCACAACTTAACCATTTCTGCTTTCAATACAATATACAATTAATAGTATCTCAATTATTACAATTCCCTAGTTAAATAGAGTTTCCCCTTATGTTACTCATTTCCACATCTTAAATTCTCCCAATAACCCTGGGATGCTGGGAGATTCTTAATCTGTGTCCTGAACGAAAGGAGGAATGGACCTGAACCTCATCCCTCAGGTGATAGAGAAAGGAGAAGAATGCTGGGGGTTTTCTGACAAACCCCACCTGAAAAGGAAGTCACCAGGATATGCTTATTCAACAGTAGGCTCAAGTGAAGATATGTTTGTTCCAGAAGGACTCTCAAGGTCTGGCTAAGAAGGTGAAGCGGCAATTATGCCATCAAAGTTCCACCTTCTTGCCTTTTTTAAACATAACCTTGCAGGTACACCTAGTTTTGTGGCCAATAATTTCTGGACCATCTGCAGTGCAAAGGGAAAGGAGAAGATGGACATGCATGTGAGGACAACATTTCCCAAACGGCGCAATTTACGTATTTACATGTGATGCTGCAATGCAGACAGGGGTGGGCTGCTGGGGGTTCGCAGGGGTTCGGGAGAACCTCCAACTAAGATTCTGTGCAGTTTGGAGAACCCAAATCCCACTCCTGGCTGGCCCCACCCACCCCTCCCCTCCCAGGAGTCCCCACACAGCCTGTTTGGATGCAGGTAAGTGCAGGGCGCGCGTGGAGGCTCAGGGAGGGCGAAAAACGGGCCTACCGGAAATTTGGGAAGGCAAGAAATAGGCCCATT